AAATTGGATTCAAAAGTGTTTTGTTTTTTTTTAAGAAATTATTTCTTCCTAGATATGTGATATTTGTCACTATATTATTTCTGACCACTATTATTGGATTTATCTGTTTCATATGTATTTTTTGTGTGTGTGTTTTTTTTTATCTTAATTTCTGCAGGGTGAACCCCCACCCCACCCCCATCCCTAGCAACCTGCATCTGCAGACAATGCACCACTGCTCTCTCTCTGCAGCAGGAGAAAGCTGCAGTCGATTCAGGTGCACCACAAACTGACTGCTTATGGTTTCATGTATCTTGAACCCAAAGCTGCTCTCACTTTTGTCTGACTCTCAGCTCGTCCTCTAACACATCATATACAGTCTCAGTTCTTACAGTTCCCCCCCCCCCCTTTTTTTTTTAGAAGTGCATGCTTGTATAAGACTGCTTAGATTCATGTTATAATTTTTTGCATTTTTTTTTATATTCAGCTACTGTCTACCAGCGCTGCTACTACAATATGATAAATTTGAAAGATTTATTTTTTCTTCCAGAACTAAATGACAACCCTTAAAAAGACAAATGTTAAAATCTTTAAAAAATATCATCTTTTATGTTTGTAGTATTGTAATATTCCACAGGTGTCAGGATTCTTTGCCGTTTTTTTTTGTCATCTTTCTCTTATCAAGTTTTTTGTAAATGTTCTTGCTGTATGTTGTCTGTTCATTAGTGTCCATGAGGTCTTGCCATATTAGTGTATGCAGGTTGGCTTCATGTCTTACATCTTCTGCTCTCTGCATATATTCAATCAATTTCTCAGGTCATTATTTGTTGCTTTTTCCCTCCAGGGTTTAATGTTTCTTATTTCAGTGATAGTCTTCCCTCCTTGCCTTCTGCCTCAGTTGCTCCACTTCTTCCTCTGATTAACATCCTGTCTTTCCCCATTTGCCATTGTTCTCCTCTCCACTAATGTCCACTGCACTCCATGATCTGTTCTCCTAGTTTTAATAAAAAAAATTACCGCATTGAAACATTCCTATACTACTCCAAGGCTTCTGTCGGCACTCTGGTTTTTCAACCTACAGAACATAAACCAGTACAATCTTAAACTAAAAATCCAACCTTGAATTAGACTAAATCATTCCTCTATTTAGACTGCTTTTAAAATGGAGTAAGAAAGATAATAAGAAATATTGACTAAGCCCATAGTGAAGAACTGAAGCACGAACTGAAATCTTCAGAACAGCAATTGTTTATAATAAATAGATTCTAACTATTATCTGTGCAAAAGCATCTTGTATCTTTTGTTGATTAGTGGAAGGACTTTTACGCTTTAGGCCTGCTTGTCTTCAAAAGCTCACGGAAGCCCTGAAGTGCATATCATCATAAGCTTTTTGATAAATAAGTAGGTTTTAAATGAAAACCTGCAGACGTTCGTTAGAAAACTGACATTATTTGTCTTTTTACAGCAAACTTCACCAATGGACCTAAAAGCTGTGGAAAACCAGTGTAGTAAAGAATAACAGAGAATATTCAGGTTGTTATTTTTTAGGTATGGCAGCTAGGAAACAGCACTAATACACATGGAGGTGTTTTTTTTAAACTATTTTACTTGCTTACTATTACATGGCCCTACTTTCTGTGTACGCCCATAAGCGATGCACGTTTACTTTCAAGCACAAGTGGTGCGTTACAGAGATGTCTCCTGGTAAAGCAAGTTGACAAAGGCCTATTACTGTGAGTAAAAACATTAGAAGAGTCACTTCAGTGATGTTTGGTTGAATTAAGATCTTATATAAAGAAGGCATGGTGGTCTGCTAGGACTGTTCTCTCTCCAGCTTGTCTGCCTGGAGTTTCTTACACTCTGAAGACATGAACGTTGGGTTAGCTGCTTATTTAAGTAGAAGTTTGCATGTTTGCTTTTTAGCGGTATGTCTGTTGAATATGAAATCTCAAAGAATCATCCCTGCAATTTTGCAGGTGCATTAATTGAACTCTATCTGTAACAGCAAACATGCAGTAAAATGTTTCATCCCCCTTGCGGTTCTTACAATCACGAGAGATGAGACACCAAGTGAGGAGACTTTTCAGTTTGGGGTCTCTGAATGACTCATAAAAACTCATTTCTTCTGTGTGAATGGTGTCTGCAGAGCCCCACCGAACAGAAACAATAACGGCACTCCTACTTTACGCCCTGACAACATGAAAAACACCAGTGGCTACATGAATGAGTCTCTGCAGACCTAGTGGTGCACAGCACCGAGCCATCGCTCTATTCTGGTGTTGACTCAGCCCTC